CCTCAATCATCAGCTTGTAAGCCTGTTGATCCAACTGAGTCTTGTTGTCACCAAGCCCACTCTCGGAGATGCTGGCGGCCACACGGCCCTGGGAGTGGATATTGAGTGTATTCAGGATGTCGGCAATACCTTGATTTAGCACGGATCTTGACTGAGCCAGGAGCACATGACATGGCTGTTAAGAAGCATCATTACAGACAGGACACAGGAGTTCTCACGTGGGTGCCACTTGTCATGCTGGGCTTGGCAGGCTGTGGCGAGGTCGCTCTCCAACGACAAGTCTCCCGCAGCGATCTTGGAAAGAAACCTCAGCTTCTATTGCCATGTCCCAGGAGTCTTCGAGTGGAACATACGTGGATTCCAGTCTGTTCAGTAAATATGAGACATGTAGCTTCTTCTCCAGCAAAGCTTCACAGTTCGGAATTTCCTGGGCCAGCTCCTTGACGATACTGCCTCAAATACAGAAAACTGGGATCTAAATCCACCTCCCCACCCTCTTCACCAACCCCCCCCCCCCAACAATAACTAAGTCCAAAAGAAGTAAGGCAAGATGCAAGCAAAGGCTGTCACAGAGCACTTTTCCTCCAGCTCTCCCTTGAGCATCTTTTTTGTGCGGTTTCTAGGAGCCGTGCTTTCCCATTGGTTCTCTATCATCTCTGCAAGGAGGAGCAGGCTTTCCTCTGTATTCACCATCCTCTTCTGCCACGGAGAATTCCTCGGCGTCCTGGATGACTTGTGATTGAAGCCCAGAAGGAGCTTCTTCGAGGAGAGACAGTCGTCCGTGTAAGGACAGCCTGAGACTAGAAGAACTAGTCTAATTTGCAGGACTACATCATCTTGACACTGACAAAATCTGAGTAGCACACCTTCCCAACCATAGCATGACACGGTGTGCAAGACCTTGTTACGGGTAGATTCTGGTAACTTCAGGAGGACGTTGACAGCGGTAAACTTTGCTCCCACCAGTTTGTCTTGCTTTGCAGCAGCATTCTCATTCCTGTCAACGAAGCACACAGAGACAGCACAGACAGTCCCTTGCCCCATCCAACTCTGAACTATCATGGAGCCCAGAGGCCAGGCACGGATGATGCCATCTGGGTCATAAGACTTGTTGCTGGCGGATATGTTGACCAAGCTGAAAACCCAACTGATGGCATTGGGTGCTTTGCGAATGGACCCTCGGGTGCTCTTCTTCATGTTAAAGAACCTTAGGGTACGACCAGAAAAGTACTTTCAGCACTAGCTACTAGAGCTTTGTAGATGTGCCCAAACACTGAACCTTTCGGTTTGTCTGGAGGTGAAGAATCTAAGCAGGCGGCGGGCAGTGGGATCTAGATAGAAGAAGACCAGAATATCAATTTGTTCAGGTGCTAGCGTATTAAATTAATAGGAAAACAAGCAAAGTGTGTAACCATGTGAGTTTTGTCAGGAAGCAGCTCAGCCTGTCGATCACCCAGGCGCACATGTTGACATTTGATTTTCTGAAGGCTTTCTAGAAAGACTCTCGGCACCTGTTCTTGCTCAGGGTCTCAGATATTCAATCTGGTTATGTTTGTAACAAGTAACCAATATCGGGTTCGGTTTTTGGACACCATGAATAAGGCCTCTGCACCCAAATTGTTCAGGCCGATCACAACCGCAATGGCAGTTAGTATCCGGGTGGCACCTTTCAGAAAGGAAATAGTCCCGTCCGCAATGAGGTCGTGATCCGGTAGGTTGCTGTCCTCCACATCCAAGCAGAACAGCAATCCCACCCCAATCCACCAACTATCAACAAAGTGCCTTCATCACCTGGCATTCACTCACTTTGTTTCCCTCTCTCTCTGTCTCTGTCTCTTTTTTTCTCTGTCTTTTTTGTGGTATCTCCTCTGGCTACTGCAGACCTTATTCTCAGAGGAAGCCATACATCATTTGCACATAACTATCCCCTGAGCATAAGTCCCAAAAACGAAATCTTCCCTCTCAAATTCAAAGCCCAAAGATTTGCCTGGATCCTGATCATGATGGGCTCGGCAGTTGTCACAAAGCCATCAACCGCGAAATGGTTCATGAGCTTGGCAGACGTGTCGAAAGCAGGTGGCTCACGTAGCGAAGCTTCAGTCTCCACACTGAAAGTTGCCAGGTGCAAGAAGAACGGGGTCTGTTCATCTTCTTGCCCTGGCTTCAAGAGGAGGACTTGGAGCTGTTATCCCAGAAGCACTTCCAGCAGCACAGGTCCTAAGTGAAGACAAGGGTCCCTGCAAACACACAGGAAGTGGGTACCGTTCCACGTAGGCGACATCAGGGCTGGGCGGGATTTTTTCCGAAGAATCTCTGCAATCTTCTCTGCACGTGCAGCACGGATTGGGAACTGCTGAAAGAGGAACTGGCGCACACCTCCGGCACCTGACTGAGCAGGTCCAGACAGTGGGCTTGGGTTTCATGGTTCAGGTTTCAAGGGTGAGGGGCTGAGGCTAATAATGTTCAGAAGATACGAACACTCTAAGACAACCACAGCTTCGAGAGAGATTCTCAGCGACTTAAATCTTAGACAGGCGACTCTTGCACATCGCTGCAATCTTCTCATACAGTACCTCTGTCGGACTGGCCAAGTGGTTGAGGGCTTCAGTTGTAGCGACAGTAGACTCACCATCCTCAGTCTGCCCAAGATCGAGCTGCTGCGAGTCCTGGTCCATGTTCACCTGTTCGACTTTATTCCTAATTTAGGGCTCAGGGATCAACTTGTTCCATATAGTGCTAGGTGAATGCAGTGCTTTTGAAATGTTATTTGGATAGTCCCAGAGTGACTATCATGGCCTGAAGGATCAAGAAGTTCATTACAGCTTTTAGGTGATTTGAAACGTATGAGGCTTCATTTCTCTATACACCTAGAATCTAGAATGGTTGTGAGTTCATGATTCAAAGTACCGGGGACTGGCGTAGAATGAGACCAATGGCCAAGTGGCATCTTCGTGAGGTTCACCCATAATTGTGAGAAACAGATACAGCTACTCTGAATCTGACCAGCAAAAGCCTGCGAGGGTCAGACCCGAATATAACGGCACGGCAAACAATCCAATCCTCACAAGTCGAGCACTCAAAAATGACACACTAAGTTGGGCAGATTTCGATCGAAATCGCGCGTTCTTGGTTCTGTCAACCATGGACCATCACAAGTCAAATCCCCACATCCCTGAAACACAGTTGCGGGGACACTGATATGTTTTATATGAGATGCGTTGATTTCGATCGAAATCTTGCGTTCTCCCGGTCCCATTTTTGCACATCTGAGATGTGGGCAGAGACCGCTCACGAGCAAGTGCTGACCCAAATCAAAATGTCCACCGGTGCCCAGAGTTGCGCAGATTTCGATCGAAAGCTCGCTAAAATCCCCCCCCAAATCAAATGTCAAACGAGATGTTGCCCTAGACCTGCCCCTCCCGGGCCCCGGCAGACTTCAGCTTAGCCTTGCCATTCTTCATAAATGGCAGCTTGGCAAATCACATCAATTAGCCCTTGTGGATACTCTTGGGCCGAACGAGACCGTGGTTTGCCACCTTCCCAGCCATGAACTATCTGATGCGTGTGATCACCTGGACAGTATTTCTGGTGTAGCTGCTGAAACAAGCAGTGGCTGTTTGTCAAAATTTTGCTGCGCTTCTTCATCGGAATTTTCCTGTCTGCACTCACTAGGCCAAACTGGCATTGGTCGAACTCAGCCATGTAGACATTCAGGTGGTTCTGAACATGACGCACCTGGGCAATGAGTCTGTCAGAGCTTATGGAGTCTGGAGGCTGTATAAAGGCTAAGGGTTCGATTGTCTATCGTAGACAGGAAGATCTTGTCTTTCAAATTGATTGCTGAAATTGTTACTCAGGCACTGAGTCTCTGGTCCAAGCCAGGGACTGTGCCGGATGTTCCATCGCAAAAAAATCTCCTCGTGCCATCTGCATACCAGCGAGCCACATACAGAAATCAATGTAACCACAGGCCTGAGCCAAATTCAACAGTCTCTTCTGAGGAGCAATTCGCGTCCAATTGGAGCGCATTAATTGGCATACCCACGTGCACGGTGGGCTCATCATCAGAAACACGGGCTGAAGAATTGCAACATCCTGTACTAGTGTTCGCTGGTAAGATTCCTCCCCCAAGTCCCAGAAATGTTTCAAGTCGTAGCTTCGTCTAGAAGTGCCACCCATTGCCCTCAATGACGGACCTATCCGAGGGGCACTGAATATTTCCCACAATGTGCATTTCAACGGACTGCGTTCTGCTGTGGCAATAAGGTCTCGCAGATCTTCATAGGGCATATCCACTTGTGAAAGAATGGAAGCAGCAGCATCTTTCAAGCCAGGATGATCACACGACACGACCTCTGGAGACATCCCCACAGGAGTTGTATCTGTTCGGCTGCTGGTCCCCTTGGAAGAACTTGCCTCCAAGTTCGGTAGACCCTCGTCATCCGATGGTAGAGCCATAGCCACATCTTTACCTCGATCATTGCTGTTCTCCTTCAGCCTGGCTCTCTTTTTGTTTGTCTTCACAGGGACCGTCTTGGCATTGGGTGGGTCGAGGCTGGGGCCAGCATCATCAGCTGGTAAGTCCATGGCTTACAATCTAAAATGAAGATGAAGTTGTCTGAATCTCTACACCACTTGTCAGCAATCAGTCTTCACAGTCTTGACTTGGAACAAAATTGGTCTTGGGTCATAGTGCAATAAGAGCCACACATACTTCACAAAAGACTCAAGACTGATGACAGGATGAACAAGTTCTGATGTCACTCTTGTATGTCATGCATGGGCTGAATGAAAGCATGACCAAACATGTTAACAAGACCACACAGGATATAGATATATGTCAATTTTCTCATCTTTGGCCGCCCCCTTCCTTCATCAGACACGCTTCGTAGAATCTCAGGTCACACCAGGACTGGACATTCATCAAAGCCCCGAGATTGAGTGAATGACATCGGCCCTGCACATGACTCGGAAACTTCTTCTCATCTACTTCAAAATCATCAGTGGCGGGCCGTAGCTTTGCCACGACCACGGCCACGGCCTCGGCCGCCTCTGGCAGCGGCAGGTCGTGGATTCACAGCATCCTCAGGATGTTTCTCGCGAAATGCAGCAATAGCAGCATCCAGATCATCAGGAGTCTCATTGCACAACAGCCAATATTCTCTCTGGAGCTTGTCTCTCCAGAAATGAGCAGGCAGAGAAGCATAGAACTTGTCTCTCCGATCCTCGAAAATCTTCAAGCCAGCAGGTGTGTTTGGCTTCGTTCGGCCTGCAAAGTTAGACCTCTCCGGCAACGGGAAAGCTGGTGGATCCACAGGTGCTTCATTTGCCCCCGGCTCCGGCAGCCCCTGGTCTTCTGCTGGAACAGCAACCGATGGCTCAGTATTTGGTTCATCGGCTCGGAAAATCTCTGCACTCTGATCTTCGGCCTTCCTCTTCACACCTTTGCCCTTGGCTTTCGCCTTTGCCTTGCCTTTAGGCTTTGCCTGTGCAGGCTTCTCCGGGATAACAGACACAGCACGAACAGGTCCAGGAGCAAAGCGCTCCCACCTGAGAAAGAAAGACATAACTATTTTCCCGGCTGACACAGCACACTAGACAATTTCATGGATTGTAGAAATTGCAATCCAAGATACCCGTCTGGATTGGGCACAACACCAATCGGCCTCGTCGAGGAAGACATCCACCATTCAGGCATGGTCACCGGTGGAAAAACTTGTCGAACATTGGCATCCACGAATGCACGAAGAGAGTTTGCGGCATCTGTCAAGGACCAGGGCTCCTTCTCCACGACATCCGCAGTTCGCTTGAACCTGAAAAGAAACAACCAACCTCTTCACAGTAACAGTATTTTGGTATCAGAATCAGTGAATTCTGAACCAAGAAACTCACGCACCGCACGCTCCGCAAGGAGATTCCTCGAAAGAACACCAATCGGCTTCTCGAGCCTGCCAGCAAATGAAGCTGGCAGAAAAGTCATGGGTCTCTGGGACAAGGAGGAACTGTTCGTCAGGTGCTTCACCAGCAGGATACAGTCATGCGGACTCTGCATGTAGTCTTCCTGGCTCAAAGAGGCCCGAGCCAGGGATCAGTCTAGCAGGACTACGACTTATGAACACTTCATTCCTGTGAAAGCCAGGTCTCGCCAGGAATTTCACATGGTGCCCAAGACTCAGAACTGATGTCATCGTACAACGGCAGGTCCTTTGACTACAAACACATTGCGAAATTCTGGCCTGTTAGGCTGTAGTGTCAAATTCCCCGTAGATCTAAAGTTCAGGGGTGTTTAGGGTTTTGGGTTTAGGGATGTTCAGGGATGTTTAGGGCTTAGGGTTTGGGGATGTTTAGGGTTCAGGGTTTAGGGTTTAGGGATATTTCGGGTTTAGGGTTGAGGGGTTTTTTTTTCCGTCCCACTTAGCAAGGACAAGTAAACGCTGGGGTTAAGGGTTATAAGGGTTTAGGAAGGTTTAGGGTTTAGGGATGGTCAGGGTTTCGGGCTGTTTAGGGTTTGGGGTTCAGGGACGTTTAAACCGCCACTATTATTCAGAATTGTGAAATCACAACAGCGAGCGAAGTTGTTTGGAAGTCCGAGGGACGGAACGACGAATGAATCGCCAACAATGGTTCACATTCATCTCTGGTCCCTCACGACCACGAGGATTCGGCACGATTCCTTGAACATTCAACCCATATTGCTCATAGTACTCCTTCCAGTCCAGAGAACCTGGCAAGATCTCTGCCCGTAGCTCACGTTTGCGAACTGGGACCACCTTCTCCTGAATGATCTTCACAAAATCCTCGATGGGTATGATTGTTGAAGAGAAGTATAAGTTACTTGTCTACAGATGTATTAGTATTAGGGTTTGGGTTTAGGTTTTCAGCCTTAGAATAGAGTCCTCCGGCGTCTGGATCGTGTCTGCATCTGTGAATGCGGAGACTGCAACTCCTAGTCGCTGATCTAACGGCCCATGTGTATGTCCGACCTCACCGAACACATGGGTGATCGAACGAAACCTGAGATGAAATGTCAAAATTGCTCCTTCAGCCAAGAAAGACTTGCTTACCTTAGGACTCCACAGTTCTGATTCTGCTTGGGAGCTTCTGAAAGATCACGGCGCTCGCGGACAGCTTCATCATAGTTTGGTTTTTTCCCTCGCGCGCGCAGTTGTCTGTCTGCCAGGGAGATGAAATAATACGGCACATGACAGGCTGCTAAACCTTTAACTTATATTAACCCTCAATTGTAAGCCACTTGACACCTACAGCCTAAATAGATTTCGTCCTAAACCGGCAAAGCCAATCCACCTCGATCACGAGATGTTCTGGGAGCGGGATTCCTCTCTTCTCCAGGATTTCAACACACGCATCCAAGGCTCGGAGTATACACGTCACCTCCGTCGACGAGTCCTTCCGTACATCGGGCTCCAGAATGTAGAAACACTCCACTACCTTGAAGGCAATTTCTGGAATCTAGAATTAGGGCAGTGTGTCTATAATAATTCCTGCGACATTCAAATCCTGCTGAGGCACGCCCCAGCATAGCACTCCGAGCATATGTATCTGTGGCCTCCATAGATTCGACAGCGATTTCGAACTATCCAGGTTTCTCGGATGTTTCGTTTTCGCTTGGTCGAGGCCGTCGATGTCGAGCTTCAAAACCTCTGTTCTTCAACCAGCAGGCCCAAAAAAGTTCAAAGTTTCTAGGATAGACATAATATATAAGGCCAAANNTCAAGTTCTCCCCTTGGCTATCTAAGAAACGCTCGCCGACATGTCGATACCAGAAGTGCTCGTAGCAGCTTCAGATAGGGCACTCAGGCGGCTCTGTATCTGGCGGTACTGTCGCACGTTCTTGATGTGCTCATTCTGGGCTTTCTCCAACTGAGCTCTCTCATCCGACAGCGTGCACTTCTTCATCCGAGCTGTAAACTCAGCACACTGAGTGCACCTGGCATGCTCGAAGTGAAAAGCCCATCCCCAAGTCCTTTATTATGAACACTGAGATGTACAGCATATTATTTCAGCCAGGCTTCCTCGCATGCTGAGTGAGCTCCCTCATAGGGAGAACGCATTTCCAGTTCTGGTCATACAAGGACCGGAAGGTTCTCGAACAGGCAAGTTCTGTTCCTGGAAGGGCAGCTCCCTCGGCCCACAGTTTGTACATGTCATAGAAATTCTCCATGGTCATGTGGTTGATGTGCCGGGGCAGCAAGCCTAAGTATTCAGAGACATGGGAGAGGCTCTTGAGAAAGCCCGATTTAGCTCGGCAATAGAAAGCTGAGGAACCACCTGTCTTCTTCTGACCCGGGGCAATCATCTCTACCATTGCTGCCGTATTGTCGGCCAGGCTTGTGGCATTGAACGACATCACTCCACCAAAAGAAGATTCAGGAAGCTCGGAAGCTGTCTCACCTGCAACCCAACTAGCCCTGAAGTTGAAGTCACTACACTGCCACCAAATTGGGAAACATTATATTCAAGTGCCTGGCAGAAAGATGCCCGAGGAGCAGAGTGCGGCACCACTCATGTTCTCCAAAGCAGGGGTCTCAGCCAGGGGCTCTGCCTCAGTTGACAGCTACTGTTCACTATGTAATTTTCAACTGTATCATCATTTCCAATATCAAGCAAGATTGAGATGTCACACGAAAGGTTCGATTCTGTTTCTGGAAAGCCACCAGGTTCAGGTAGTAATAGTTCATGAATGAGTCCACAGAGAGGGCCTTCGACACTGGCCTTCCATTGAATTTCCGGCGGTCTGTGGGAATGCAATTCGTGTCGAGGCCGCTGAGCAATCGATGAACCTGCTTGTCATTTTTAAGCAAGATGCTGAAAGGACCCTTTAAACCCTAAGCCCTGAACCCCTAGGTTTGGCCCTCCGGAACCCGCTTTTCATTGATGGCGAGGAGGGCACAGAATCCAGACTGGCAGAGGTCAAAGCCGAACAAAGAGAATCTCAAGATGCATCTCCCTGTGGCCTTAGAGGTCATGAAAAAGTGCCGTAGACATCCTCGTGGTGTCTACAGCATTTGGAAAGGAAACTCAGTAATCCAAGTCACTCTCGAACCCTCAGAAGACTTGTCTGGACTCCCACGCTTCTCCAGCTTGCCGAGGATGCCGAGGAGGAAGCGGTTCATGTCATCAGTGGACATATTATCCATCTTGTCTCGGATGTCCTGCACAGAAGTAAGGGTAGACAGGAGGATCAAGTAAGTCCTTGCTGACGATACAGTCTAATATCTAGTAGGACGTGTGTTAACTGGTCACCCCACCTTCAAGCTGTCCAGACGGCCCGCGTTGGAACGAAAATGATGAACACAACTTTTTGCACAGCACCTCTCGGTCTTCGGAGGCGACCTGACATAGGATTGTTTTTCTTGGCTGAAGCTTCACACTACACTACTCTTGGTCAATGCTCCTTTAGCAAGGAAAAAATGTCAAGCTCCAGGTCTCAAGACTACACTGTGTAGTCCCTAGTTTGAAGTCATGAAAAATTGAAGCCAGGCGCTCCAGATCTGGAAGCCGAGGAGGGCACACTCCTTTGGCCGGAGTCTTGATCTCATCCGGCACCGCTTTGTGTGTCAGACTCATAATATCCGGACACATCTGAAGGGCAGGCCCTTCATCATCTGATGGCAATTCCATGCTGCTACTGCTACCACTGACACTGTCAAGCCTCAAAAGCTTTGTATTTGGAGTTTCACATCATGACATGAAAGTCCGTGACAGCTACCACACCAGGTCGAGACTGCAAATCTTGAGATACGAACTAGTTTGGGGATTCAGGGTCATGATCGCTTGGCACAGGACCACACATGAATTCCGCCCAGTCTGAGTCTCGGGCTCCTCGGCAGTCTCAGGGCTTCACCTGCACATGTGAAGAATTTCTCATTTACATGACCATCACATGAACAAAACAAAATATCACATCATGACATGAAAGTCAGTGACAGCTACCACACCAGGTCGAGACTGCAAATCTGGAGATACGAACTAGTTTGGGGATTCAGGGTCATGATCGTTTGGCACAGGACCACACATGAATTCCACCCAGTCTGAGTCTCGGGCTCCTCGGCAGTCTCAGGGCTTCACCTGCACATGTGATGAATTTCTCATTTACAAGACCATGACATGTTTCGGTGGCTCGTGCATTCGTGAACATGTCTATCCAGACATTGCATGGGCTCAGTCGGTCTCTTTGTTTTTCTGTCACCTCGATCTGGGCGGTGGTGCGGCGCTGCGGTGCATCTCTGATAAAAGAGACCTCTGTTCTATGGCTCCATCTCAAACCAGCTCTAGTGTGGCTAAACCCATACATGCATAGGGTTCAGGGTTCAGGGTTCAGGGTTTAGGGTTCAGGAGTTAGGGCGAGATCACGATCAGTCGATGCACCGACTACTGTACACAGACGGCATCTATGATGAAGCAGACCTCTGTTCTCTGGCTCCTGGCTTCTAGACTCTACTGTGGCTAAACCCATACATAGGGTTTCGGGTTTAGGGTTCAGGGTTCAGGGCCAGATCACCTCGATCTCTGCGGTGGTGCGGTGCTGCGGTGCATCTCCGATAAAATCTCTGTTCTATGGCTCCCATCTGAAACTAGCTCCAGTGTGGCTAGACCCATACATGCATAGGGCCCAGGGTTCAGGGTTTAGGGTTCAGGGTTTCGAGGCAGAGATCACGATCGGTCGATGCATCGACTATTCTACACACACAGCAGCTATGACAAAACAGACGACGGCTCTGTTCTCTGGCTCTTGGCTTCTAGACTCTACTGTGGCAAAACCCATACATAGGGTTTCGGGTTTAGGGTTCAGGGTTGAGGGCCAGATCACGGCACGTCGACAATTCCGAGCGGGCACACAGACACTCCTGTTCTCTGGCCTCCTCTCTCGACCTCTACTCAGGCTTCTACATATATTCCAAAGCCCACATAGAAACTCGAGGCCAGATCAGGCGAAAGTGTCCCCGCCATGCTTCATCTTCTCTAGGTCGAGGTTGAAGATCCGGCGGGCCGCCACGTAGAGGCTGCCCACGGACTCCAAGCCTCTAAAATTTTCGGCACATCCGCGCCGCATACACCCACTCACGTGGGTCCGCAACTCCGAGGTTCTGGGAACGAAACTGTAAAACGCACAGCTTCCACACACCTTGAAGTACTTCTTTCCATGGGTTTCCCAAAACTCATCCGACAGATCCCCTTTGTACCTCATTTCCCAGGGCAAACCCTGCCCAGTCGTCGGCTCCTCACGGGAGTCTCAGGGCTTCGCGTCCTACAATGTCTGACTCATCAACTGCACTGACTGACAGGACCTAACCCCTAAAGCCCAAAAGCTTTAAACCCAAAATCCCACTGTCCTGCTTTCCTCCTCCCTTCTGGCCCTTTCCAAGATCCTGTCCAGAAAGTTAAAGGTGCAATCAATTATCACCCTACAGCAGACGAAACCCTTCCTCGCCTCTGTCTCAGCGGCGCTCCTCTGGTCGCCCTTGCCCGTGTCCTGGAACGAAGCTTAAATTATCTTGTCTGTCCACACATTATCACAAAACACTCAGCAGACTCGATCGACTCCTCCATGCCCTTCTGCAGGGCATTCTTCGATTTTCCGTCTCCTTTGCCCGGATCCTGGAAGGAAACTTTGCAAATTATCTTGATTGTCCAGACATTATCACGAAACACTCTTCAGACTCGATCGACTCCTCCATGCCCTTCTGCGTGGCATTCTTCCCTTTGCCGTCTCCTCTGCCCGGATCCTGGAAGGAAACTTTGCAGCTGAATTATCTTGTCTGTCCACACATTATCACAAAACACTCTTCAGACTCGACCGACTCCTCCATTGCCAGTTAGGATAGGCCATGCCCCATCTT